GTTGTTCCTAAATTACTTAATGTTTTGTTACAGCAGCTTAAGTTACCACGATAAAAGAAATAACAGGCTAGGTTTTTCTCCTCACTAAGAAACCTGTGTCACGTTGAAATCTATGCATTTTCCAAAGCTCAGCCAAATTTTACATTAAAGATACTTGATTTTAAGCCAGGCACCAGTTGCTCACACCTGTAATCCTAATTACTTGAGAGGCTGGGATCTGAGGATCACAGTTCATAAGCCAGCCCAGGTAGAAAACTCCCCATGAGACTCTTATCTCCAATAAACTCAAAAAAGCCAGGAGCAAAGAGGCTCAGGAACAGTGCCCAGACCCTGAGTTCAAGCCCCAGAACTGGAGAACAACAACAACAACTTGATTTTAGCTGGGCAGAAGCCAGGCATCAATGGCTCACACCTGTAAATCCAGCTACTCAGGAGGCTGAGATCTGAGGATTTGGGTTCAAAGCCAGCATAAACCAAAAACTCCAAGAGACTCTTACCTCCAGTTAACCACGAAAAAGCCAGAAGTGGAGCTGTGACTCAAGTGGTAGAGCCTGGGCCTTAATTTGAAAAGAGCTTAGGAGGCTGGGAATGTGGCTTAGTGGCAGAGTGCTTGCCTAGCATGCATGAAACCCTGGTTTTGATTACTCTGTACCACATGTGCAGAAAAAGCAGGAAGTGGTGCTATGGCTCAAGTGGTAGAGCAGTAGCCTTGAGCAAAAAAAGCTCAGGGACAGTGCCCAGGACCTGAGTTCAAGCCCCAGGACGTCCAAAAAAAAAAAAAAAGAGCTTAGAAACAGAGCTCAAGCCCTGAGTTCAAATCCCAGAGCCAGCACACACAAAAAAAGACCTGATATTTTTGGTTTAGGTTTAGGTTTTAGAACTCAGGGCCTCATACCTGCTAAGCAGGCATTCTACCATACAAGCCACGTTTCTACCACCCACCTCTTCTTTTTTCTTTTTTTGAAAGTCCTGGAGCTTGAACTCTGGGACTGGGCACTGTCCCTGATATTCTTTTGCTCAAGGTGAGCTCTCTACCACTTGAGCCACAGCACAGCTTCTGGTTTTGTTGTTGTTATTGTTGTTTTGGTCAGTCATGGGGCCTGAACTCTGAGCCTGGGCACTGTCCCTCAGCTCTTCAGCTCAAGGCTAGCGCTCTACCACTTGAGCCACAGCACCACTTCCAGCTTTTTCTGCTTATGTGGTGCTGAGGAATCGAACTCAGGGAGGGACTCACGCATGCAAGGCAAGCACTATACCACTGAGCCACCTTCCCAGCCCTTAGGTAGTTTATTGGAGATAATTCTCATGGAGTTTCCTGTCTGGGCTGGCTTCAAACCACTATCTTCAGGTCTCAGTGTCCTGAGTAGCTAGGATTACAGGCATGAGTCATCAGTGCCTGGCTCCTTTCCCCTTTTTTAAACTTATTTTTCAGATAGTGTCTCTGGCCTGAGGCTAGTCTTGGACTACAATCCTACTTAGACCTTCCTGAACAGCTTGTGTTGTAAGGTAACTCAGTTGGCGAGAAACAGAGAAGTTTCCCCCCCTCCTCCCTCATCCCGCATTCCCCCTTCCCCCCTCCCCTGTTCCTGAGCCCTGTGGTGACCACTTGAGCCACAGCACCACTTCTGGTTTTCTGGTGGTTTATTGGAGATAAGAGCCTCACAGATTTTTTCCTGCCCAGGCTGGCTTTGAATCTTGATCCTCAGAGGTCAGCCTCCTGAGTAACTAGGATTACAGGTGTGAGCCACTGGCACCCAGCTATAGAGTAATTTTTTTTTTTCCATTGTGGGGCTTGAATTCTGGGCCTGGATGCTGTCCCCCAGCTCTTTAGCTCAAGGCAAGCCCTCTACTACTTGAGCCACAGCACGCCACTTCCGAGAAGCCACTTTTTGAGAGGTCAAATTGGTAGTCTTTATTGGAGAGCCAGTGTCTGCAGGTAGCCTTCTGTCTCAAAGACCTGTGGCCCCAAATTGAGCTCAAACAACGCTTTTTAAAGAGAACAACCACGTGTTTTGGATAGAGATCAAGCCTAACAAAAGCAGACCATTTTAGGAAGTAGCAGACCTTACCCACCTTGGGAAGTATCTCAAGGGCTAGCTTAAACTTTCCATAGGGGGCTATACTTAGAGGCTACTCAGAAGTGAGGGAATCAAACTATTTAAGGGAAACTGAAGGCCAGAATTCTCTGTGTAGCAAAAGCTTTCCTAAGGCTAAACAGCGTGACATTGGCAATTCAATGAATGGCCTTTCTCACCTCTAGGCTATCAGAGCTGGGTAGAAAACCCTCACCTCCAACAAGGAACCAGGATGGCTGTAAGGACAAGGTATATTACTTAGACCTTGTCTCCTTACTTCACTTAGATGTCATTGCCTTATTATACTTGGTTTATTTGTAGAGCGGAGGTCTTACTAATTTTTTTGCCTGGGGCTGGCCTTGATTTATAATTCTTTTATCTCTATCTCTTTTTTTGTATCTGTTGTTATTGGTCGTGGGGCTTGAACTCTGGCCTGGGCACTGTCTCTGAGCAGTTTAGCTCAACACTAGCACTCTACCACTTGAGCTATAGTGCCACTTCCAGTTTTCTGGTGGTTAATTGGAGATAAGAGTTTCACAGAGGTGGGGGGGGGGATAGGAAGGGGAAATAAGGAGGAGGCAACAATGCTTGATAAGAAATGTACTCATGTGGCTGGGAAGGTGGCTCAGTGGTAGAGCGCTTGCCTTGCAAGCCTGAGGCCCTGGGTTCGATTCCTCAGCACCACATAAGCAAAAAGAAAAAAGCCGGAAGTGGTGCTGTGGCTCAAGTGGTAGAGTGCTAGCCTTGAGCTGAAGAGCTGAGGGACAGTGCTCAGGCCCAGAGTTCAGGCCCCACGACCAGACCAAAAAAAAAAAAAAAAAAAGAAATGTACTCATTACCTTGCCCATGTAATTGTAACTTCCCTTTCCTGGCTGGCTTTGAACCACAATCCTCAGATCTCAGCCTCCTGAGTAGCTAGTATTACAGATGTGAGCTACCATGATATATCTGATGGCTGAAATACCTGATAATTTTTATATAATATATTGTGCTAAAGAATTTAAAACACATTGCATTCATTCTGCTTTGTAAGCTGTGTGAGAAGCAACAAAGATTTTCAAATTTAACGCAACTTAGTCAACTCTTATTGATAGTTACAATATAAATGAGAACTAACTTCTAAGCAATATATATTCATTTATAATCAGATTTAAAGTTTCTCTTATTTTTTTTACAATAGTGCCCTGTTGTGGGTAGCATGACAACCAAGGTAGTTTGAAAGACTTATATACCTTGGTTAACTGCATTTATACTAGATAGATTTGAGGGAATAAAATTAAAAGAAAAAAATTAAAATCTAGACCAAGAAAAACTCAGTGTGTGTGTGTGTGTGTGTGCCAGTACTGGGGCTCGAACTCAGGGTCGGGCCTGTCCCGGAGCTTGTTTTGCTCAAGGCTAGCACTCAACTATTTGAGTCACATTTCTCTTTTAAGCTTTACTTTGATGTTTAGTTGGAGATAAGAGTATCATGGGCCCAATTACTTACCAGCATTCCTGGATACTGACGTTTCCCTGCCCACTCTCTAGTTCCTAAGAATTCACCCAAACCACTCCTGTCCCTAAATTAAACTGACAACTAGGTCTAAGAGATGGCTTAACACAGAGGGAGGGGGAATAAAAGGAGACAACGTCCTCTTTGCAGTACCAAATTGGATTACACATTTCCAGGTCCCATTGCTCCTCTCCTCTCCTGTCCCCTCCCTTCCTCTCTCTTCCTCTCCTCCCCTCCTCTCCCCTCCCTTTTCCTCTCCTCTCCTTTCCTTTGTCATGGGGCTTGAACTCAGGGCCTGGGCACAGTCCCTGAGCTCTTTTGCTCAAGGCTAGTACTCTACCACTTTGAGCCACAGCTCTACTTCTGGTTTTCTGGTGATAAGAGATTCACAGACTTTCCTCCCCAGGTTGGCTTTGAACCATGATCCTCAGATCTTAGCCTGATGAGTAGTTAGGATTACAGGTGTAGTTCACACCTGTTCAACACTCAGCATTTTAATTTTTTTTTTTTTTTTTTTTTTTGGTCGGTTGTGGAGCCTGAACTCCGCCTGGGCGCTGTCCCTCAGCTCTTCAGCTCAAGGCTAGCACTCTACCACTTGAGCCACAGCACCACTTCTGGCTTTTTCTGCTTATATGGTGCTTGTAAGGTCCATTCCTGGACGGCGAACAGACCTCACCCAGTACCTGCGTTACCTAGGCAACTGGGATACCTGGAAGAGGTCACATCCGCATCCGCTGAGGTCACATCTTAACCTGATGTGGCCACACCTTTCTCCCACCTGATCCCACTTCCCTTTACCTGGACACACCCTTCCCCACCCCCTACCCTATATAAGGCCTAAACCGCGGCCAGACCGCCCTTTTTTCCTTTTGCCAGCCGCGTGGAGTGCCAACCTTGCCTGGTCCCAGCGGGTCTACTGAATAAACCTACCCCTTACCTGAATACCACGTGCGTGGTGCAGTTCTTACTCGGCCACCTCTTTTTAAAAACCTAACATAAATGGTGCCGTGACTCGGATAAAGGGCTTAAAGTCAGGATAGCTGGATTCCCCTCTGTTTTTTTTTCCTTTTCTTTTCTTTTTTTCGTTTTTTGTTTGTTTTCCCCTTTTTGCTCTGAGGAATACCCACAGTTCTGACGGCCTTTTATGAACCCGTCTATCTGCTGCGGACACAGTGCATCAATTCTATTGCTGGCCTCTGCATCTTCCTCCACACTTCTACATTTTGGTGAGTGACCTACTCTCTAAGGGTTCTCTGTCGTTCAGTCTCTTTCCAGATACCACGCCGGAGAACCTACTAGGCCTTTACTTGACTCTGGTTGCTCGTCACTTCTCTCTAGAGGGCTCGGTGGTAAGTTGGGACACCGCTTCCATTCAGTAAGCCCTCCTTCACTCACTAAATTTTCCTCTTAAGTTTTTCTCTTTTACATTTCCAATGGGTTGTTGTAAGTCACGCCCAAAGGAGGAAACTCCATTGAAATGCCTCCTGCGTTCCCTGGATGTCTTGTCTATTGACTGCATCAACAAGAAACAACTGATTTATTATTGCACTCAAGTTTGGCCACAGTACCAACTGGATAATCGTTCTCGATGGCCCAAAGACGGGACTTTTGACTACGTCACTCTCAGAGATTTAGACGATTTTTGCCGTCGTAATGGTAAATGGTCTGAGGTCATTCATATTCAGCCATTCTTTGCTCTCCGGGACAACCCTGCCCTATGCCAATCATGCCCGGCCTTTCCACTCCTCCTGGCACGTGGAGAACCCAGCTCTGATAGCGCAGGGCCCCATCCGGAGCCTGATGTGGCTGACCCTCTTTTTGACTCTGCCCCTCTTCCTGCTGAGCATCTGGTGCCTTCCCCACCTTCTTCACTCTCCTCTCCTTCACCCTCTCTCTCTTCCCCCCCTGCAGCTCACACCCGGTCTCGCACTGGTGGCACACAACCTCCACCAGACCCCATGTGCCCTTTGCGAGAGGTGGCAGGGGCTGAAGGTGTAATTAGGGTGCATGCGCCATTCTCAATGTTTGATATTGCTCAGATTGAGAAGAGGCTGGGATCTTATGCCCAAGATTCTAATAATTATGTTAAGCAGTTTAAGAACCTGGCTCAGACCTATGACCTTACTTGGCAGGACATATATCTAATACTATCCTCTACCCTTACTGCTGAGGAAAAAGAAAGGGTGTGGACTGCAGCCCAGGCACATGCCGATGAAGCTCACCGCCTAGATATTAACTTTCCAGTGGGAGCAACAGCTGTGCCTAGGGAAGAGCCCAATTGGAATTATCAACATAATGCTCCTGGGCGGGAAAGCAGAAATAGGATGATAACTTGCTTAGTGGCTGGCCTTCAAAAGGCAGCCTATCTCCCTGTTAATTATGACAAATTAAACCACATTACTCAAAGGCCCAATGAAAACCCGGCAGAATTTCTTGAGCGCCTTACAGTAGCGCTCCAGCGCTATACAAGGCTGGACCCAGAGTCACCAGAGGCTAAGGTGGTTCTCAATACGCATTTTATTGCCCAATCAGCCCCTGATATTAGGAAAAAGTTAAAAAAGGCTGAGAACGGTCCTCAGACCCCTCAACGAGATCTGGTGAGTATGGCATTTAAAGTTTTCAATAATCGAGAGGAACAGGAGATTGCCGATAAGACTGCCCGTGAGAGGGAGAACTATCAAATCCTGGCTGCTGCCATCCGGCCTCCTCTGAGGAGAGGCACCCAACATACACCACCTGGAGCATGCTTCAAGTGTGGGCAAGAGGGCCACTGGGCGAAATTCTGTCCCTCACCACGACCTCCACCTGGACCCTGCCCAAGGTGTGGGCAGCAAGGACATTGGGGAGTCGATTGCCCCTCCTCACCTCCACAAGGTAGGCCAGCCCCTCCCCCACCCCGCCCACCCAGGCAGGCGGAGCCAGACAGGTCGGAGATTTTCTGCTTGGCTACAGAATGAAGGTGCCCAGGGCCACCTGCTCCCAACAACCAGACCATCACAATGACGGAGCCCAGGGTGTGTTTCTATGTAGCCGGTAAGTTAATATCTTTTCTCTTGGATACGGGAGCGACTTACTCGGTGCTATGTCAATATACAGGCAAGACTTTTCCCTCCCAGATCTCGGTGGTGGGTGTAGATGGCCTACCTACCTGTCCCCCAACTACAGGACCAGTATCATGTAAAATAGAAGACTTTCCCTTTTCACACTCCTTCCTAATCCTACCTCACTGTCCTACCCCACTCCTAGGAAGGGACTTGCTCTCTAAATTTCAAGTCTCCCTTTCATTCCATATCCCCAAACAGCCTACACCTGTTCTACTTTTATCTTTAGATGAACCTCCACCTGTAACTTCCCAACTAGATCCTTTCCCTTTACCTCCAGATCTTGTCAACCCTCTTATCTGGGATACTTCCACTCCTACTATGGCTAGACACCATACTCCTGTCCTGATTAAACTTAAAAACCCTACCCATTTTCCTGGTACTTCCCAATACCCCATTTCCCTTAGGCACAGGCAAGGTTTAAAACCCATCATCCTTCGCCTTATTAAACAAGGACTTCTCAGACCCACTAACTCCCCCTTTAACACCCCTATCCTGCCAGTAGTTAAACCTGATGGGACCTACCGCCTAGTCCAGGACCTGCGCACTATTAATGCTGCAGTCCTTCCCATTCATCCTGTTGTGCCTAACCCATATACCCTCCTTTCACAGATACCTCCTGGTACCACCCACTTCTCAGTGCTGGACCTCAAGGATGCATTCTTCACAATCCCCCTGCATCCCGACTGCCAAGATTTCTTTGCTTTTACTTGGGTGGACCCAGACACTTCAAGGGCACAACAGCTGACCTGGACGGTCCTCCCTCAAGGGTTCCGAGACAGTCCCCATTTCTTTGGACAGGCTTTAGCAAAGGATCTCCTCTCTCTTCAGGTGTCTCCTAGCATTGTTCTCCAGTATGTGGATGATCTTTTGCTTTGCAGCCCTTCCTTTGAGTTGGCTTGCCAACATACAGCTGACCTCCTCAACTTCCTGTTGACAAAAGGATATAGAGTCTCTCCTTCAAAGGCCCAGATAGCGAAGTCAGAGGTAACATACTTGGGTTTGTCCATAACTCCTACAGAGAGAAGAATTACTCTTGATAGAAAAGCCTACATTGAGTCTCTCTCTGTCCCACAGACCAAGGAGGACATTCTGTCTTTCCTGGGACTTGCAGGCTTCCTTCGTATTTGGATACCCGGTTTTGCCACATTGGCCAAACCTCTTTATGAGGCATCCAAAGGTTCCCTATTGGAGCCACCAGACCCCACAAAGCCCATTGACACCCCATTTAAAGTTCTGAAGCAAGCGCTTCGGGCTCCAGCACTGGCTCTACCCAACCTCAAGGAACCCTTTATACTCTATGTCACTGAGAAGTGGGGAATTGGCCTTGGGGTTCTTGGACAAATGTCAGGCCCCTCCTTTAGACCTGTGGCCTACCTCTCAAAACAGCTAGACCCAACGGTAAAAGGCTGGCCAGCATGTCTTCGAGCTTTGGCAGCAGCAGCCACCTTAGCACAGGAGAGCACAAAACTCACTTTTGGCCAACCCACTACCATTCGCTCTCCCCACAGACTAAAGGACCTTTTGTCTCATAAATCCCTGTCTTCCCTTTCCCCTTCCCGCCTACAGCTGTTTCATGTTACTTTTATTCAAAACCCTGACTTTTCACTGGAAAGCTGCTCCCCGCTCAATCCAGCTACCTTGCTTCCATCCAATTCTAACCCTCTTTCCCATTCCTGTACAGAGACCTTGGAGGAATTCACACCCCATTTTACAGGTATCTCGGAAACTCCTCTTCCTGACCCAGAAGACACCTGGTACATCGATGGCAGTTCCATATCTACCTCTTCAGGAAGCCGAGTTGCAGGCTATGCCATTGCTAATAACTGAACCATTCTTGAAAGCAGCCCTCTGCCCCCTAGCACTACCTCACAAAAGGCAGAACTTATAGCTTTAACTAGGGCCTTAATTCTAGCAAAGGGTCGGAAGATTAATATTTATACAGACTCAAAATATGCCTATCATATTCTCCATTCTCATGCAGCAATCTGGAAGGAGCGTGGCTTCCTGACCACCAAAGGGACTCCCATTACTAATGCCTCACTTATTCTTAAACTATTAGAAGCTGCTTCCCTTCCCCAGCAGGTAGCGGTCATCCACTGCAGAGGACACCAGACAGGATTGGATGCCATTACAGTCGGCAATTCAAAAGCAGACCGGGAGGCAAAGCTAGCAGCCCAGAGACAACTCCAGGGACAACTTCCAGCTCCCTTGCTACTGGTATTGCCTTCAATTCAACCCTCTTATACCCCACAGGAGCTCGAGGAACTTACGCACCAGGGAGCCTCCCAGGAAGCACAGGGATGGTGGTCCCTGGAAGGACGAGTTGTTCTTCCTGAGGCACAAGCAGACAGCTTTCTTTCCCAGGTTCACCAGGCGCTGCACATTGGATACAAGCCTCTCTCCCACCTTCTTAAACCTTTAATCCATTGCCCTAGCCTAACTACTCGACTAAAGGCTATTACCCAAGCCTGCCCCACATGTTCTCTTACCTCCTCACAGGGTGGTCTCCGACCAGCTGCATTCCCCACACACCAAGCACGGGGACATACCCCAGGGGAAGACTGGCAGATAGACTTCACTCACATGCCCAGATGTAAGCGGCTCAAATACCTTCTAACTATGGTTGATACCTTTTCAGGATGGATTGAAGCCTATCCCACAACGTTGGAGACTGCTGACACTGTTGCCTCTGTCCTTATTAAAGAAATTATTCCTAGGTTTGGCTTACCCAGGTCACTTCAGTCTGACAATGGACCTGCTTTCATCTCCAAAGTGACCCAACAGGTGGCATCCTCTCTAAACATCCAGTGGAATCTTCACATTCCTTATAGACCTCAGTCTTCTGGAAAGGTTGAAAGAGCTAATGCGCTCCTCAAAACACAACTTACTAAACTTTCTCTAGAGCTCCAGCAATCCTGGCCAGAACTGTTACCCCTGGCGCTCACCCGCTTACGTGTTTCTCCCCGCAGCCCTACTTTCCTCAGCCCCTTTGAGTTAATGTATGGAAGACCTTTTCTCCTAGGTAATTTCCCTACTGACAATGCCAAGACTCCACTAATAGACTACCTTCCCGTCCTAACCTTTCTTAGGCACATGCTGCGCCAACATGCTGACCAGTGTCTCCCTCAGCCTCATCAAGGCCCCTTTCCCACTCCCCCAATTTTGCCTGGTGATCAAGTGTTTCTCAAGACCCTTAATCCATCTGGTTTACACCCTAAGTGGACAGGCCCTCACCAGGTTCTGCTGACCACCCCCAGAGCAGTCAAGCTCAAGGGACAGCCCCAGTGGATTCACCTGTCAAGAATAAAAAGGGCTCCTGTTCCTGCCCCTTCTATACCAACCCTGACCTCCAGGTACACCTGTTCCCCCCTCGGGCCTACCAAGGTAAGGCTGTCTCGCATCCCTGAAGATCCGGGTGAGTAAAACTGAGCTAACTGCTCTCCTCCCCAAAGACCTCACTATCTCATCCCTTAGGACACCTCCAAGCCATGGACATCCAATCTTTTCTTTCCAGTAATATATTTGCTTTTCATCTTTGTTCAGCCCCCTGCCTGAGAAGACTTCCTCCAGACTTCATCTAAGAGACTCGCTTCTTGCAGACATCATGGAACTGGCGGACCTGGAAGCAGTCACCTTCTACTAGGTCACCCCTCTTCCTCCCCCCCCCCTTTCCTTTTTCAGCCATGCTTCTCCACCATGCTGGGTGGGGGCAACAGTTCAGTCAAATTAACTTCTTTTCCTGCCTGAATAGTGCATGGTGTTCTTTTCATCAGTTAATTTCCTAACCACCCCTTTTTTGTGAACTGAACTGCCTTGACACTATGCGAGATTTTTCACCGATACCATTTCTGGCCTTCACATCCACGTCCACACCACTTCTCTACTCTGGTGAGTGAAACTACTCTACGGCTCTCTGTTGCTCAGTCTCTGTCCAGACGTGGCGCCACGCCAGAGAGCTCCTACGGCCTTTAGCTGAAAGGCTGGTCACCTCTGAAGCCGAGGACGCTTGGCTTTGGGGGCGTGGCCATTTCTCTCTAGAGGGCTCTGGGGGAAGTCGGGACGCCGCTTCTGCCTGGTAAGCTCTCCTTCACTCACCAGACTGACTCTACAACTTTTTGGCTTGTGCCCTGAAGAGTGCGACGCAGGCTGGGTCCCGGGGACCCCCCTCTAGGTTCCCTCTCAAAGGCTAGCCATTCTAGGTTTAAAAAAAAAAAAATTGTCAGACTTCCTATTTGTTCAGGTTTCCGTCAATGCCTCATAAAACTTCTCCAGACTTCGTCCAAGAGACTTGCCTCCTCCAGACTTCATCGAAGGACTCAACACCCAAGTGACAGCTGCAGCCTGCTGCCTTCTCCCAGCATGGACCACATCCCAGCCTTTTACCCCTACGATGCCCTTTGCCAGCAGGAAGTAGCCAGAGAGAGTCTTCGCCCTTTTTCATAATTATCAAAAGGCTGGAATGTAAGGTCCATTCCTGGACGGCGAACAGACCTCACCCAGTACCTGCGTTACCTAGGCAACTGGGATACCTGGAAGAGGTCACATCCGCATCCGCTGAGGTCACATCTTAACCTGATGTGGCCACACCTTTCTCCCACCTGATCCCACTTCCCTTTACCTGGACACACCCTTCCCCACCCCCTACCCTATATAAGGCCTAAACCGCGGCCAGACCGCCCTTTTTTCCTTTTGCCAGCCGCGTGGAGTGCCAACCTTGCCTGGTCCCAGCGGGTCTACTGAATAAACCTACCCCTTACCTGAATACCACGTGCGTGGTGCAGTTCTTACTCGGCCACCTCTTTTTAAAAACCTAACAGTGCTGAGGAATGGAACCCAGGGCCTCATGCATGCAAAGCAAACACTCTACCACTGAGCCACCTTCCCAGCC